CCAGGGGTAGTGGCTCAAGCCAGTAATCCCAGCACTTTGGGAGGCTGAGGCAGGCGATCATGAGGTCAGGAGTTCGAGACCAGCCTGGCCAACATGGTGAAATCCCGTCTCCACTAAATATACAAAAAATTAGCCAGGCATGGGGGTGTGTGCCTATAATCCTAGCTACTCGGGAGGCCGAGGCAGGAGAGTCGCTTGAACCTGGGAGGCAGAGATTGCACCAATGCACTTCATCCCAGGCGACAATGTGAGACTCAGTCTCAAAAAAAACAAAAACAAAAACAAAAACAAAGTATGGTGATACAACATGCAAGGGAGAAATTACATGTAACTTTGCAAGTCTGGAAGTGGAATGTGAGTTAAGTTTTGCATTCTATTGAAACATCTTAGTTCAGGGAGAAAGAGATAAAGAAACAAAGGCCAAGAGTAAATAATTTACCTTAGTTATTAGAAGATAAAACTAAAAAATACATTTCATTAAAAGTAGTGTACTTTCCACTAAATTATACATCATGAGTATGAATTCAATAGGCAGAGTTTGAGAGAGAAAGGCTGCATATGATGGCTGTCTTTGGGAATATTTGGTGGAATGGTGTGGCTGTGGCTGATAACCCAATAGTTTCATTTGATGGCTTACTGTGTTGTAAGTTAGGATGTTCCATCCTGTGGGGGTCACATTCACAAAAAAATGGATAAGTTGATTCCTGCCTCAAAAGGTTTCAGTCTGGCCGGGCGCGGTGGCTCACGCCTGTAATCCCAGCACTTTGGGAGGCTGAGGCGGGTGGATCATGAGGTCAAGAGATCAAGACCATCCTGGCCAATATGGTGAAACCCCGTCCCTACTAAAAATACAAAAATTAGCTGGGCGTGGTGACATGCACCTGTAATCCCAGCTACTTGGGAGGCTGAGGCAGGAGATTCACTTGAACCTGGGAGGTGGAGGTTGCAGTGAGCCGAGATGGCGCCATTGCACTCCAGCCTAGCAACAGAGTGAGACTCCGTCTCAAAAAAAAAAAAAAAAAAAAAAAAAAGGTTTCAGTCTAACATTTACTTACTAGCTAGAGTTGCACAGCTACCACAAATTTTTGAATCATATCTAAGGCAAAGTCCAAGCATGTGCATTTTTTAACCTCTCCTCCTTCCAACAATTTTCATCTACACACCTCCAGTTGGGATCACTGATAATAGAGCTCTATGAAGCTTACTGAAGCTGATAATAGTTTCCAAACAGATTTCATACTTCCAGGTTTTCACACCTTTGCTTGTGGGTTCTCTAATTAATTAATCAAACATTTCACTTATACATCAAGTATTGTATTACTCTGTATATATATCACTAGAGATAAAACAGTCAACAGGAAAGACAGGGTACTTCCCTTTGGGGGTGGGTAGGAGAATGCCAAAGAACAAGAAATCATTAAAGAAAACTATGGAAAGTATCTCAGAAAATAAATACTGATCACCATTGGAGCACATAGAAAGACTCTTAATCCAAACCTGGGGTATAGCAAAGCTTTGTTGGAGGAAGTGATTTCTCTGCTAAGAACAGAAAGAGAGTAAGTAGAAGATAGCCATATTTTTTTGTTGTAGGGTAGGAGAAAGGGAGCAGAGAATGAGAAGCTGGGAAGCGGCTTCTAGGTAATGAAAACACCATGTTCAAAGATCTGGTGAGGGAGAATACAGTATGTGAAATAAGCTAAACAAGTGATGCCAATTCTCCACTTGTACCTTTCTGCTCTCCTAATAGACGTAAATGTTGGGGAATAAGCCTGGACAGACAAACAAGTGCCTCCTTAAGGAACTTCGAGGAAGACAGACTTCACCTTAAAAGCAATAAGCAGCCACTGAAGAGTTTTAATCATGACAGATTTAAGTTTTAGGCAGATTACTTGACGCACTGTAGAGATTGGAAATGAAATGATGAGATGGGAGACCAGTTAAGGAAGCTGTTGTAATTCTAGGCAAAGATAGTGGCCTGAACGTAAGTATTAACTGTGGAAACAGAATTATTAAGTGGACTGGCTTAGAGATTTTTAAGGCTTCAACGACTAATTGAATTCAGAGAGTGAAAGGAAAGAGGATTTAAAATGACTTTTTTTTTTGAGATGGAGTCCCGCTCTGTTACCCAGACTGGAGTGCAATAGTGCGATCTCCGTTCACTATAACCTCCGTCTCCTGGGTTCAAGTGATTCTCCTGCCTCAGCCTCCTGAGTAGGCATGTGCCACCACGCCCAGCTATTTTTATATTTTTACTAGAGACGGGGTTTCACCGTGTTGGTCAGACTAGTCTTGAACTCCTGACCTCAGGTGATTTGCCCACCTCAGCCTCCCAAAGTGCTAGGAATACAGGTATGAGCCACTGCACCTGGCCAAAAATGACTAATTTTTGGCTTGGGCAATTGGGAAGCCGACAAAGGCAAAGCCAATCATTTAGATTCTGAATACAGCCAGGGATAATTCAAAGGGTGAACCAAGAGGCTGTTATTTTTGAGGAGAGAGATATTTATGGCCTGAATGATTAACAACTGGATGGATTTGAGATATTTAGGAATTAAAATCAGTAAGTTTCAGTAATTCCCTGGATATGAGATATGGAAGGAAAGGAGTCAAATATGACACCCAAATTTCTGGCTTGGATTCTGTGAACAGTCACTGTGGTACACTGTTTAATTAACTCTTATCATTATTACACATGGAATTAGTTAATTCCATAAATTCCTCCTCTCCTGGTATGCACACTTTGCAAAGTGACTCTGTCATTCCTTCCATGTAGGGATGGAATCTATTTCCCCATCCCTGAAATGTGAACTAGTCTTGTGACTTGCTTTGACAAATATGTGATGGAATGTATGTGATTTCCAAGGCAAGGCCTTAGGAGGCATTGTAGCTTTTACCCTTTTGGAGTGCTGCCCTGAGAGTGCCATGAAAAGAAGTTGGTCTGGCCGACTGGAGGATGAGAGGTCACATGGAAGAGAACCAAGTCCTGGAGCTGACAGCACCAACTATGAAAAGTGGTAACCCTGGGACCTTTCAGTTTAGTTGACCTACTAGGTCAATAAAAAGCATCAATGAGGCCAGGGGAAAACCAACATAGGTGGAGTAGTTCTACTCCACTGACCCAGAATTATGAGAAATCGTGGCTGTTTTAAGCTACCAGGTTTACAGTGTGGTTACACAGCTATAAGACAACTGAGAAAGACAGAGGGAGATCAAAAAAAGACAACCTGAAATGTTATTCTCAAATGACCTAAAGATACGCAAAAACTCTTAAACAGTAGAAAGTTTAGGGAGAGGTAGGTGATCCAATAATTCCTAGCACCAAATGCCTGAATAACAAGAGCAATGGAATGTTAATTAGAGAAGTTAAGAATCTACCTTTTGGATAAAGTAGCCAAAGCAAACAGGCAGGATGCTTTCAAGCTCTTTGAGAAAGGAAAGCAGAGGTGTTCACGGAGGACTCCGGGGTAGTCCCTCACACCCTCAACCCTGGATAAGTAAATTAAACCAGCTCTCCTTATTAGAGACTGCCTGAAGAATTAAGCTAGGATAAAAAACGTAAAAGCTTTCAGCACTATGCCTAAAATTTTATTATTCACACAGCAAAACATGGATATGAGAAAAAATAAGTTAAAAGTACACCTTTCCCATTCAAAGGTATTCTGCCTTTCTCTATTCTGCCAATAGAGAAAAATGAAATAAAAAACAATGTCTTAAAGACAACGAACATCATTAAAAAATTAACTTCAAAAATAAATTATACTTTGGTATAGATAGCTCCTTTTACTCCAACAACATTGTTTAAAAGCACAAATCGCACTCAAGCGCAGCCAGCCATTTGTGAATAGCAGAGGAGAACGGAGGTTAAGAGGCTAACAGAAGTGGTGAAAATGAGAGAGCGCGCGCGAGAGAAAGGTAAACAGAAACTGTTCTCCTGGACCAAAGACTTGAAGACTTGCCTCTAAGATTTGGAAGTCTCGTCATGAGCTCTTGCAGTTCTGCCCGTTTAAAAACCACCTTCACTTCTTGCCAAGCTTTATTATTTCCCCCTCCCACCTGGTGTGATTTACAGATTGTTTTTAGCTAGAGCCGTATAAGAGAAGCTAAATATCCAAGACAATTTGAAGTCAGGAGAAAACTGCTGCCAGAAACCCAAGGCGGGGAAGAACAAGGATCAACCGAAAAATTAAGCCACGTTGCATTCCGGCCGCAGCAGTCATTAAGGAGTCCTCCCCGCCCTTTTCAACCAGGACTGAATGTTGCGTCTTCCTCAGCTGCAATCTCTCCTACTCTCCCTGTGGCAGCTGCGAAGGTGATCTACACTCACCGCTTGAAGCACAGTCGCCAACAACAACCGTAGCCCAAACGTCGGCACCAGCCACCCACTCAGCCCAGCCGCCATCGCTACCATTTTCCGCAGGTTTCTGGCTGCCTAGAAGGACCCCTTAGCTAGGGCCGTCCACTCCAGAGCCTGATCCAAAATAGAACGCTAACGGCCGTTGCCCTTACATCTCTTATTTGGAAGTGACAGGTATTAAATAACGGCATATGAGAGCTTAAAAGTCATCAAATACAAAGACAGTCACTGGGTGCTTTCGATTACCCAAATCAGGCACTTTCCTAAACTCCCCACTTCTTTGCTTCTACGGTCTCCTTTCTTTCATTCACGACACTTCGTCAAGCAGCCAAGAAGCCACGCCTTAGCCAGTTTTAGCCCTGCCTTCTTCTCCAAGTTTACCCAATTGAACGTCGTCTTGATTGAGCTCTGTGGCAGAGGAAACCAACCGTAAACCGAACCAAGAGCGAAGCGCAGGGGCTCTTCGGTCCAATAATTGGACCCGAACGGGAGGAGGGGCGGGGCTTCTGGTTGCCGAGCAGCGTACGCGGATGCGTGCGCGTGGTGGCGGAGGGGGATGGGCGGGGGCGGGGCTGAGGGCGGCGCAGCCGCAGCGCTAGTGGAGGGGCGCGCGGCCGCGAGCAAAGGAGGGAGGGAAGGAAGGAAGAGAGGAAGGCGGGCAGGCAGGCGGGCGCGGGGGTCGGGGACTGAGGCAGTAGAAGGAGGCGAGAGCCCGGCAGCCGCTTCGCGCTGTTTGCTGCGCGGGCTTTTGGAGGGGGCGGCCGTTGAGTCGGCTGAGGAGAAGCGGACACCGGCGGCGTTGGTGCTAGCGCCTGGGGGAGGGGGACTAGAGAGGCGAGAAGGGGGGTCGCTGCGGTGGTTCTCTCGCTGTCGCGCTCTCTTTGCCTCGCTCCCGGCTCGGCGGGCTCCTCCCGGCGTCTCTCTCGCCTCCGGGGCCCCGCTCCCCGCCCCCCGCGGTATGTCTTGATCCCGAGCAGCGGGTTTCATGGGGCTCCTCAGGATTATGATGCCGCCCAAGTTGCAGCTGCTGGCGGTGGTGGCCTTCGCGGTGGCGATGCTCTTCTTGGAAAACCAGATCCAGAAACTGGAGGAGTCCCGCTCGAAGCTAGGTGAGGAACTGAACTGCCCCGGGCTGAGTGCTGTGGAAGGGGCCGAGGAGGCACTGCCGCCGGAGCAAGTGGGCGTTTGTCTAACCTGGGGTCTGGCTCGGGGGCTGAAAGAGGTTTCAAAGAGAACCGGGAACTAGGGGCAGCGAGGGCACGAGCTCCAAGAATGGGTTGAATTAAGCTTGAGTGGCGTGCTGGGCTCGCGAGGTCACGGGACAGAGGTTGCAAGGTTGGGCTTCCCGAGCCAAAGGGATGCCCCAAAGTAGGCATTCCACGGAGAGAGAGTGAGAGAGAAGACCGAACTCAATGGGGAGCGGGTGTTGCTGGTGGAGACAGAAGCGCTCAGCATCGCGTGTTCTCTTGGAAGTCGTACAGAAAGCCCTGGCAATGTCAGACGAGGGGTATTCTAATTTGAGCTATGGGCATCTGGATACGAATTCTTCTGGGGGTTCATGAAGGGATAGGTGCGCAGAAATGGAAGGAGATGCTGCGACGATGGAGAGTAAAATAAATACACTGTAGCGAGTTGCACTCTTGTGCTAGGGGCAGCAAGGGACCTTATAATTGCCAGTTGAGGGGGGCTGGCGGGGTAGTGCAGGAACGCGAGTGAAAAGCTTCATCGGAGTACGGAAATGAGGGTCCGGAGATTTAAAGTCTTTAGTGGTGCTAAACTGATGAATTGGGGCTTGAGAATAGGGATGCCTATGTATGTTGCTTCGCGGCAGTGTTGATGTGAATTTCGAAGAGGAGGGAACGCTGAAGGGGAATTATGTAGTGAAGTTTGTTAAAGGAAAAGTAGGATTATGCGGAAAGTTAACCATGTGGTTAAATACCTTAAAGGGTTAACAGGTGCTTTCATGTGTGAAGGGTTCTGAAGTACAAAAAGTTGGTGCGAAGTTGTGAAAGGCCAGAAAAAAAGCACAGAGAATAGGTACTTTCGGATTAATAGGGAACTTTGGCATTTGGAAGAGCTCAGCATGGAGAGCGAGAGTTAAAAGAATTGACAGTGATAAATTTCGATTTAAAAATGTGCATGGCACTTAAAAATCAACTCAAGAGGATGTAATTTGAATATGGAAAAGTAATGTGAAGTGTTTTTTGCATACTTTCACCTCAAAATCATTTTGAATACCTTTGAGAAGCCAGCAAAACAAAAGAAAACAAAACAAAAAAACCCCAGCAGTATAATTTAGACTAAGAAATAGATGTTACTGTGAATGGATGATTAATTTTTGGGAAAAATGTACCAGAAAATAATTGTGATATACGTACAGCAGCTATTTTGGTACAAGGCTTTGCAAAAGCCTTGACATTTTAAAGAGCCTTGAAAGAAAAACCATCAAGTAAATCTGAATGAAGTGCAACTAAAGTTGGAGAAAAACTAAAGATACTCCCAGTCCTCAACTCTAGAGTAAAATTCGAAGAGATACGCAGTTTATTTACCAGTTCTTTTATTAATATGTATCTTGTATGATGGAAAAAAATGTCCACTTTAAATATTGAAGGTTATCCAGTACGGTTTTTCTTTTGTATCCATTTAGCGACATTCAGGGTCATTATTGATCATTATTCTGGTCATTGATCATTATTGGTCATTATTCTGGCGTCATTAATGATCCAGCTCTACAGAAAAAAGAAAAGACTCCTCTTTGGAATTCTCTGGAGTTGATTTCTTAGACACATTACAGTGGGTTAGAATGACTTAAGTTTTTGGTTTTCCTCCTTGGCTAACATTTTTTTCCCCATATACTTGAAAATTGCTTCCATAGACACAATCTGAATAATTTTTAAAAGAAAATTCTCTGAAGATGTATAATGCCACAGTTAAAATATAAAGTGCTTTCTTGTGATACAAGAAAGAAAATTTCATAAAAAATAGTAAATATGCATCAAAATCCTCCTGGGACTACAGGTAAGTCTACCTGGGACTACAGGTGGGTGTTACCATGCCTAGCAGAGGAAACCATATTTTGACAACCAGATTCTGTACTAGGCACTTTTCATCTTAGATACTCATGTTTAAAGTAAGAACACCATTTAAAGCCATTTTTGGCCAGACGCAGTGGCTCACGCCTGTAATTCCAGCACTTTGGGAGGCCGAGGCCGGCGGATCATTTGAGGTCAGGAGTTCGAGACCAGCCTCGCCAACATGGTGAAACCCTATCTCTACTAAAAATACAAAAATTAGTCGGGTGTGGTGGCGGGCGCCTGTAATCCCAGCTACTCAGGAGGCTAAGGTATGAGAACCACTTGGACCTGGGAGGCAGAGATTGCAGTGAGCCTAGATCGCACCACTGCACTCCAGCCTGGGCAAAGAGCGAGCCTCAGTCTCAAATAAAACCAAAAAACAACAGAAAGCCATTTTTGCAGGTGCAGAAACAGGCTTAGAGGTTATATAACTTGCCCAAGACCACATCACATTTAAGTAGCAGAGCCAGGATTGCAACCCAGTTATGTCTGATTCCAAATCAATTGCTCCTTTAATTATGTCCGGTTGCTTAAGACTTTATATTGACATTACGCCAAGATTTAGCTATTTGAATAGAGTTTTAAAATTGTAATATCAATGTTTAATTGCATTTATTGCTAAGAATGAATATCATTCAGAGAAAATTGAATTTCTGACACAAAGGAATTGGTTTAGTGTAACGTCTGCCCCTTGTTTATATTCATGTAATGAACATAATTATGTTACCCAATGAAACAACTGAAATAGATAGCTTATTTTTACTATAGGAAAAAAAAATCTAGCTGTTTTCCATATGTGCAAAATCACAATGTTAAAAAAGCATTTTTATTTTGGCATTAAAAAAACCCTATTAAACATTTTGTCCTTAAAAGTAGTTATCATCATTTTCATTGTAGAAGATTCCAAAGCATAGTATTGTCTGATAGTGGCTTTAATATTCCTTGATTTGAGAATATAGTATTTTGATGGTAAGACCTCTAATAGAGCAATAGATGTATTCAAAACTGAGGTATACTCATTGACTACTTGGGAAATTCACTAATTAGGAATTCCTGAAAAAAAATTCAGTAATATAGTTTTTTTATTTTTATTTTTTAAAAAACAAATATGGCATTGTGGTGCACATATTACAATGAAGCTTGCTCTTTTTGCCTTGAATGTCATAGACATCTTTCCAGGTCAGTACATATAGATGTGACTTACTCATTCTATTAGTAATAGCTGTATAATACTCCAAAGTATGCATGTATCATAAATTTTTTTTTTTTTTTTTTGAGACGGAGTCTCGCTCTGCGGCCCAGGCTGGAGTGCAGTGGCCGGATCTCAGCTCACTGCAAGCTCCGCCTCCCAGGTTCACGCCATTCTCCTGCCTCAGCCTCCCAAGTAGCTGGGACTACAGGCACCCGCCACCACGCCTGGCTAGTTTTTTGTATTTTTTAGTAGAGACGGGGTTTCACCGTGTTAGCCAGGATGGTCTCGATCTCCTGACCTCGTGATCCGCCCATCTCTGCCTCCCAAAGTGCTGGGATTACAGGCTTGAGCCACCGCGCCCGGCCTAAATTATTAAGCCATTATTCTAGTAACGGACATTCAGTTTGTCCCCCATCTGTCGTGTGTGTGTGTGTGTGTGTGTATGTGTGTGTATATATACACACATATATATACACATATATAATTTTTTGACTTTTTTTTCTTAGTATTATAAACAATTACAGGAAACATCCTTATATATCTGTTTAACTCATGTTGATGTCATTTTGTGCTAGGATGAATTCTGTATGTGAGATTGCTGGGACAAAGGATATACATATTTCATAATTTAATAGATTTAAAAATCTACTTTTCAACATTTGTTTTTTTGTTTTTCAGAAGATATAGTAATCTACACTGCCAGCACATGTTCATTGCACTAGAAGATAATCAGCTTCTAATTTTTGCCAGTGTGAGGCTGTGAAATGATATACTGAATTAATTTACCTTCTGATTTCTAGTTAGGGTGAACATCTTTACATATGTTTATTGCCCATTTATATGTTAATTTTCATTTGTCTATTTTTCTATTGGGTGGTTTACTTATTTTTTTAAATGTTAGAATTAGTAATCCTTTATCTGTCATAAGTTCTGCTTTTTTTTTCTTTTTTGAGATGAGCCTTGCTCTGTCACCCAGTCTGGAGTGCAGTGGTGCGATTTCAGCTCACTCCTGTCTCAGCCTCACAGGTAGCTGGGATTACAGTTACGTGCCACCACGCCCAGCTAATTTTTGTATTTTTAGTAGAGACAGGGTTTCACCATGTTGGCCAGGCTGGTCTTGAACTCCTGACCTCAAGTGATCTGCCCCCCTCTGCCTTCCAAAGTGCTGGGATTACAGGTGTGAGCCACTGCACTCGGCCTCTTGCATTTGTTTTTGTCCAAGTTTGCCATTTGTTTTTTGACTTTATGGTGTGTTTTGCTCATATAGAAGTTTTAAAATATACACAGTTAAATCTATCAATTTAGGTAAGTCGTTTTCATATGTTGCTTAGGAAGACTTACCCTGAGCCAAGATTGTGTACATTTTCTTATTTTATTATAGTATTTTATAGTTTATTACATTTGGCTCTTTAAACCATTTATATGTTTACAGAGATTTATCATGATTTTCTCAGTAAATAATTCATTTTTTCCAACTGTATGTTAACATTCCTTCTTTTAATCACATACTAAGTTTTCATATGTTCTTGGATCAATTTTGGATGCTATTTTCCATTAATCAGAGATTCTTTAAACCTCAGGGACCCATAAATAGGCTTCAAGGTGAATTCCCTGAAATTATATACATAACTTTCATCAGATTTGCAAAGGAGTATGTGATTCCTTTAATGGCAAGGATCACAGATATAGTAGATGTTTCATATTTAGTGGACTTTTTTTGTTTTAATAACATAACATGCAGATTGTGAGTTAAATTTAGGAGATAAGCGCATTACTTGTGAAAAAGAAGTTTTTCAACTTCTAATGAAGTTAATACTTCATTGTATTAAAATGTAGACTTAAT